CAGATAACCTATACAGAAATATTTTCACCAATATGTCCCCTAGAGCAAGGGGCATACAAGAGAAAATTTAAAAAGGGGACTTCATCAAAATAAGAAGTTTCTGCATGGCTAAAGAAAACATCAGCAAAATGAAAAGGGAGCCCAGCATATGGGAAAATATATTTGCCTAAGATACCTCAGGAAGGGGTTTGGTCTCCAAAATGTATAATGAACTCATATTACTCCACTCCAGGAAGACGAACAATCCAATTAAAAAATGGGCAAAGGACCTGAACGGACACTTCTCCAAGGAGGACATACACAGGGCCCAGAGACATATGAAAGGATGCTCATCATCACTAGCCATCAGAGAAATGCAAATTAAAACCACAAGAATATACCACTTCCCATGAGTCAGAATGGCCATCATAAACAGAGCAACAAAGAATGGGTGGTGTAAAGGTTGTGGAGAAAAGGGAACCCTAGTACACTGTTGGTGGGAGTGCAGACTGGTGCAGCCACTGTGGAAAACTGTTTGGAATTTCCTGAAAAATCTAAACATGGAACTGTCTTTTGATCCAGCGATTTCACTGCTGGAATTACACCCTAAAAATCCCAAAACACTCATTCAAAAGAACCTATGCACCCCAATGTTCATAGCAGCAGAATTTTCAATAGCCAAGTGCTAAAAACAACCTATGTGCCCCTCAGTAAATGAGTGGATCAAAATCTATGGTACATTTACACAATGGAATACTATGGAGCAGAAAGAAAGAGCTACTACCCTTTGCAACAGCATGGATGGAACTGGAGAGCATTATGTTAAGTGAAATATGCCAGGGGGTGAATGACAAATACCATATGATCTCACCTATAAGTGGAATCTAATCACAAAACAAACAATGGAAGTATAATCAGCAACATTGAAAGAAAAAAGAAACCAACAGAAACGAGAGGGAAGGAGGGAGGAGGGTAGCATGGAAAGGAAGAGGAAGGGTCCAATCATGGAACATATATGAAGGACATATGGATGGAACCAATTGCGGAGGGATTGAGGGAGGGAGGTGGGGGTGGTAGGGGCATGGTAAAGTAGTAGTGGGTAAATGGAGACAAATGTATTTGAACAATAAAAAAATAAAAAAAATTCGAGTGGATAAATTGTGATGATTATATATATATATTTTATATATATATATATAATCATCACAATTTATATATATACTCTGCCATAAAAAAGAATGGTATCTTACCATTTGTTCCAGTATGAATGGACCTAGAATTTATTGTGCAACACAAAATAAGTCAGTCAGATAAAGACAAATACCATATGATTTCAGTCATATGTGGAATGTAAACAACAAAATAAATGAACAGACAAAATTAAAACAGACTTGCTCTGGCCAGGTCACTCAGTTTGTTAGAGCATCTTCTTAATATGTAACGGTTGCCGGCTCAGTCTCTAGTCAGGGCACATACAAGAATGAGCCAATGAATGCATAAATAAGTGGAACAACAACCTGATCTCTCTCTCTCTCTCTCTCTCTCTCTCTCTCTCTCTCTCCCCCCCCCCTCCCTCCCTCTCTCCCCCCTCTTTCTCTCCCCCTCCCTCCCTCCTCTAAAATCATTTTTTTTTAAATGAAAGACTCATAGACACAGAGAGCCAACTGGTGGTTACCAAAAGGGAGGTGTGTTGGGGGACTGGGTAAAAAACGTGAAGGGATTTAAAAGTACAAAGTAGTAGGTACAAAAATGTCAAAGGATGGAGAGTAAAGCATGGGGAATACAATCAATAATAGTTCGATAATTATGTATGGTATCATGGGTACTGGAAACATTGAGGGGAACACTATGTAAAGTCTAACCACTAAGCTGTACACCTGAAACCAATACAAAATAATACTGAAAATAAAATGTAATTGAAAAAAATTCAAAAATCATGACAAAAAAAGAGAAAGACAAAGCAGAAAAAATAAAGCTGGTTTGATTACTTTATTTCTAGCCAATGTAAATACAGCACCAACCCCAATATTAGGATCCAGGCTTTTAGTAGTCTCATCCCTCAAAAGCATGAATTGCATTGGACTTGGGAGTAAGTAATTCACCCCAAGGACAAAAACAATGGGGGGGGAGATTGAATGTGGGAAGTGGGGGTCGGTAGGGCAGAGTAAAGTATGTGGGTGGGGAAATGGGGACAACTGTAATTGAACAACAATTTTTTAAAAGTTTCTAATGTCCCTGTATTAATTCCAAGTTATTCTCCCTGGTTCTTCAACAAGGACCTCTTGGCCCCCTCTTTAGTAAAATTATTAAAAACCTTGGTAATCTGATTTTCTAAGCACCCAAAAGATGTAAACCATCCAATGAAAACAGGAAAAGTGACAACACTAAGATGCACCAAAAGAAGAAAAAGTAGAGAATTAAGTAATATAATGAATTTTCTTTATAAGGATCATATAGTCATTAAGAAAATAAACTATTTTATTTAGAATCCTTGTTTCGGATTATAAGAAAAGATACCATATACTTTCAGAAAACTTTATTATCAGAGTTAAAATTAAAACAGCTCTAATACTTGAAGAGGTGAGGTTCATGTATTTGGAAATTCCATCTTATTTAGAACATCTATCATTACCCAATGAAATCAAATACATGAAAAGTTAATAAAACAGAATTCATCCGTGTTTCTAGACTGGGGTAAGGTAAAGTAAAAAAGGAGGACCTCATGGGCCAAGTTTTTAAAGATATGTGAGTCCAGTTCTATAGCCCTCTGCCCAGAGATTACAGTTGAAAATGTGTATTAAAGATGGAAAGACTCAGAGTATGTTAAGATAATAAACTCTGCAAAACTAATTAGGAAGAAATCTTAATGCTTCTAAGAATATAGGACAGTAGCCAAATGTAAAACAACAAGAGAAAAGCCACTATCAAATAATAAAGTATCCTGTGTAATACTGAAATATTTGAAGGCTAAAGAGATCATTTCTAGTAATAATATGCTTTGAATTAAATGGAATTTTAAAGTCAAAAGAAGTTCACTATAGCTGAAGAAACAGAAGTTGGTAACAAAAGTAAGAAATAAGGCTGACAAGATGGGTGGAGCCTGGGTAAAAATGGACCTTATAAAAACATGTTAAAGAACTTAGATTTTAATCTAGGGACAATAGAAATCCATTAATTACTCTAAACAGGATAGATATGATTTGATACACATTGTAGAAGAAACACTGGCTACAGACTGATGGTTCCTTTGGATAGGAGCAAGACTTTAGAAAGTGAAACCAATTAGAGACTCTTGTGGTGGTCCAAGTAGAATAAAATATGAGGTTAAAGTAAGGTTGTAGCAGGAAACTTGGAAAAAAGTATATGAATTCAAGGGATGTGGCAGGCAAAAATGACAAATCTTGGTGATTAATTCAATCTGGAGAGTAAAGGGCAGAAAACTGGCAAAAATGGTTCCAAGTTCCTGGCTTGAGTAATGGGATACATGGTGGTTCCCACTTTCCATTCCATGAAACATGAAGAAAATGGAAAACAAATATATTTTATTTGTTTGTTGTTTGTTTTTAGAGTTGAAGGAGGGAAGATGGAGATCATGAGACTTCTTTCGACATGCTTAGTTTAAACAGTTTATGGAATAGTCAAGTGGGCATGTTCAATACATAGTTGGATTTAGAGGTCTGACACTCAAGAGAAGTTAGAAACAGTGATTTAGATGAGTCATTGGTATATATGTAAGATAACAATGTCATTGGGATGGATCAAATCACTTAGAATCTGTATATTAAGGAGAGTACCTATTACCAAAAAAATACTTGAGCAATGAACATAGGAAGAGAAGATTACCAAAGAGATTAAAGATCTCTATATCACAGAAGCTTTGATATAGCTGTGTAGTATTGTAGAGAATATTGTAGAAAACATAGCCATAAAAGTACAAAGAAACCCTGGTGTAGTATTTACTGTTGGTACTATATGTCCAGATCTCTTTCACTGGGCCAGTGAAATCATCTCCCAACAATTTGAGAATATTGCAATCAGCCGAAGGGAGCCTAGGAGGTTATACCTTACTCCAGTCAATCCTCAGGAAATGACTGATGGAGATAAGGCTACAAAAGTCTAAGTTCACTGCTTCGAAGTGGGCCAAATCTTTAGTGCTAATCATGTTCCATATCTCCCTGAGGGGTCAAGTGGAAGCTTTAGTTCTTCCCCTTCCCAGCTCAGTTCTCTTACCTCCATATAACTTCCTCTGAAAGCACTTTCTCAATAAATCATTTGCTTAAGGCTCCTTGTCTCAGGTCCTGCTTCTAGAGAACATAATATGAGAACCAGGGCATTGTGGTATCCCTGAAGTTAAAGAAGGAATTATGTTTAAATTTACATTTATTTTATGCACACATATATGTTTTATTTCATAATAAAAAGGAGTAAAAGAGGGAGGAAAGAGTCAACAATGCTGAAAGTTGCCACATGATACTAAAGAAATTAAGTTATATAAGAACAGACAACTCTTCATTTTAGCAACAGAGCCAACATTGGCCATACTGGTTGTTTAAGTTGCCTTAGAGTTCTGGGGTTGGAAATCAGACAGCAGCAGTGGTGTAATAGTAGAACAGAATGAGAAGTAAATAGGGAAAATAAATAAAACCACTTCTTCAAGATGTATGACTGTAAAGAGGAAGGAAAATTTTAAAATATAAGATGGAAGATTCTTGATCACATTTAAATGCTAATGGGACAGAGCCAATAAAAAAGGACAGGCAGAAGATCCAAAAGAGATAGAGAGCAAATAACTTGACAGAATTGCTATTAAGATGTTACAGAGAGAATTCAAACATGGGAGTTGCCCAAGAGATCATTTTCTACATTGAGAGTCTGAGTTAATGATGCTTTTCCAAATATAATGCAATGTTTAGTATCAAGGACCAGAGTACATTAGTTAATCTGGGAAAAAATTAAAATATTTGATCCAAGGCAAGAATTTATCACAGGATTCTTTTGTTCTAGAAGTTAAGGGTTCTTACCCGCCAATATCCTGCTTCACAAATTCCCCAGGTTCTTGTCGTCTTGATTCCCCTTGGCCAGCTGTTCCAGGGAGAATATTAATCAGGAAGAGAAACCCAAGACTGGTCATGTAGAAGTGACTCATCTGTGTGATTATCATCTTCTTAGGCATCAACATGGAGTGTCCTGTGAGATCCATGTTAAGGGAAAGAGGAAGGGGAAAGGAGTAGACAAAGGAAAGGAGAAAGAAGAAATTTCAAAAAAGATTTTATTTAACTCTGTTAGAATCACTTAACTTCCCTAGTATCTAATTACTAAGTGTGTAATATGACAATACCCTTTCTTCAGTTAATCAATATTACCAAAATTCATTCCCAATGTACCCCTCTTTAAATGTACTAGAACCCATCCAAGTAAAGGTAATGTAAAGTGCTCTAAATCAGGAATCAGTGGTCTTAGGTTGCAGTTCCATTTTTTTCCCTGTCTTCCTATGATGAGGTTACTCACAAATCTTCTCTCAGTCTCAGTTACCTCTTATAGTATAAAAATTTAAAATAATCTCTCATCTTCATTTTATTTTCCACCACTACTGTCTGATCTTTACTATCACAAATGTCTTTACCATAGTTAATGATAGTATTGTAGAAGATACCAGAATATTAAGACCTGGAGTCTCTTCAGAGCATATTTAGGATTAATTCTCATCTTGATACAGTTAAGCAATTTTCCTACAAACATTGTATGGGTGGCTTGTGCCTTCTTATTCAGCAGGTTACATAATCTGGATATTCTTAATTTCAAACACTAGCTACAGGTTCCCCAACACAATCTGGTACAGGCATAGAAAGACATAATATTGGAGAAGATGAACTTCTGCCATGAGGAAATGTCCACATTATAAATAGAAAAAGTCATAGTATTAGGTTGTATCATATAAAATTATGGGCCAATACATAATTTTTTTTCACAAAACAATTTCTTCTTTAATGTATTTTATTGATTGTTATTACAGTTGTCCCAATTTTTCTCCCTTTGCCTCTCTCCACCCAGTACCCCCCTTCCCTCCAGCAATACCCCACCTTAGTTCATGTCCATGGGTCATGCATATAAGTTCTTTGGCTTCTCCATTTCCTGTTCTATTCTTACCCTCACCCTGTCTATTTTGTACCTATCAATTTTGATCCTTAATCCTTGTACCTTTCCCCCCATTCATTTCCTTCCCCCTCCCAGCTGATAACCCTCCAAATGATCTCCATATTTGTTATTCTGTTACAGTTTTCATTGTTTGCTTACTTTGATTTATTAGATTCACTTGTCAATAGTTGTGAATTTGTTGACATTTTAATGTTCATACATTTGGTCTTCTTTTTCTTAGATAAGTCCCTTTAACATTTCATATATTAAAGGCTTGGTGATGATGAAGTCCTTTAATTGTATCTTGTCTGGGAAGCCCTTTCCTGCCCTTCCATTCTAAATAGTAGCTTTGCTGGGTAGAGTAATCTAGGTTGTAGGTCCTTGCTTTTCATTACTTTGAATACTTCTTGCCCGTCCCTTCTTGCCTGCAAAGTTTCTTTTGAGAAATCGGCTTATAGTCTTATGGGAATTCCTTTGTAGTAATTCTCTGCTTTTCTCTTGCTGCTTTTAAGGTTCTCTCTTTATCTTTAAGCTTTGGCATTTTAATTATGATGTGACATGCCGTGGTCTTCTTTGGATCCAACTTGTTTGGGACTCTCTGCTTTCTGAACTTGTATGTCTATTTCCTTTGCCAAATTAGGGAAGTTTTCTTTCATTATTTTTTTGAAACTTTTTTTTCTTTCTTTATTTATTTATTTTTAAATACATTTGTCTCTGCCTCCCCCCCACCACTTCCCCTTGCTCCCTCCCTCATTCCCTCCCTCAGCTCTTCCCCTTTGGTTTTGTCCATGAGTTCTTGCTATATGTTCCTTGACTTTCCCCTTCTCTTCCCTTTCCCTGCCCGCCCCTCCCTCCTTCCCTCTTGTCTCTGTTGATTTCTTTTCATTTCAGTGTTGCTGGTCATATTTTCCTTGCATCTTTGTATTGTTGGTTAGGTTCCGCTTATAGGTGAGATCATATAGTATTTATTCAAATAAGTTTTCAATTTCTTGCTCTTCCTCTTCTCCCTCTGGCATCCCTGTGATTTCAATGTTGGCACATTTGGAGATGTCCCAGAGGGTCCTAAGCCTATCCTCAATTTTTAAAATTCTTTTTTCTTCTTCCTGCGATGGTTGAATGCTTATTTCTTCCTTATGTTCCAAATTGTTGATTTAAATCCTGGTTTCCTCCCCTCCACTGATGGTTCCCTGTAAATTTTTCATTTCACCTTCATTTCTGCCTGGGTCTTTTTTATGCTGTTGCCATACTCAATGAGTTCTTTGAGCATCCTGATCACCAGTGTTTTGAACTCTGCATCTGATACGTTGGTTATCTCTGTTTCTTATCTTCATTTAGTACTTTTTCTGGAGTTTTGGTCTTTTGTTTCATTTGGTCCATATTTTTTTATATCCCCAATTTAGTAGTCTTCCTGCATTTGTTTCTGTGTATTAGGTAGAGCTCCTTTGACTCCCTGTCTTAGTAGTGTGGCCTATTGTTAAAAAGGCATCTGTAATTGTGCAGGGCAGAGCCTTATGTAATTGCTAGGGTAGGGCAACGCACTTCACTGTTCTGTGGCTCCGTGTGGGCAGAGGGTGGGGATAGAGGACAATGCCACTGTCTGGCTTCTGGAGTTTTGCCCCGTACTCACCCCATTTTCAGTCACTTCATCCACTTCCTCTATGCGACTGGCACCCTTCCAGTGGTTTCCCTGGTGCTTAATCTCAGAGTGAGTGGGTTTGCATATGTTCTAAGTCCAAACAGCCCCTTTAAATGGAGTCTCCTGAAAATCCAGCAGTTTCTTCAGTTGCCCCACCCCCACGGGTTTTTACAGCCAAAAGTAATGGGGGTTTATCTTCCTGGCACTGGAACCCTGGACTGTGTGGTCTAGCCTGGAGATAGGTTTGCTGGCTCCCAAGAAGGTATCCCTCCCAATTTTTATTCACCATGCATGAATGTGGGACCATCTTTTCTGCTGCCCTCACTGCCACTCCATGCCACACTGTGTCTCCACACCTCTCTACCCATCTCCATGATTCTGTTCCTTCTACCTATCTGACTGAATGTGACTACTTTAAATCCTTGGTTGTCAAACTTCCATACAGGTCAATTTTCTGATGGTTCAAGGTGTTATTTCTTTGGATACCTAGTTGTAATTCTTTCTACGGTTGTTCAAGGAGGCACACATGTCTACCTATGCCTCTATCTTGAACAGAAGTCCTCTTGACTACAAATCCCAGATGATTTGGCTCCAAACAGCAGTTTCTTATGGTCAGTCTAATATGCGTGCTGTGACAAACAAGATTCATAAGTTGTACAAGAGTTGATGGTCATGTTACAAAAATTAACAGAAAGAGAACAGTTCAGAAAAACATGGTGTATCTATAAGAAAATATCATATGTGAGCAGACAACCTTAGAGCATGAGAAACATCCATAGTATAGGCAGAAACCATGATATATACATGCTCAAACATCTACAGTACTTTGGCAGACCCCAATGTTGTATGATCATATGATAGAGATTAATGCTTAGATAATCATGATATATGATTGACAACTACTCTACAGGAATAAAGAAAATTGGTACAAGATATAAAGTCCAAATTACAGAAATTATCCACAGAATATAAGACAGAACCATGGTGGGTGTTCAGCAACCATGAATGCATAAGTAATGATCCTGGATATAGGAAAATATGGCCATGCTGCATGAGCAAAGAGATTCATAGTGTGTGTTCAAATATGCTATTCTAGTATTAAGTATGGGTTATGTTCAAACAGTCATGATAAACAAGCAGCAACTCTTCACACTAAGAATAGGTGCCAATGAACAGAAGCAAATACCATGATTTGGAAGGAAAAACTATGATATATAATATGATGCATAAGAAAACAAGAATGTTATATGAACTTATAACTAAGGTAGATGTTCAAATAACCATTATGCATGAGAAGAAGACTGCTATTATATATAGAAGAGTTTCAATATAATACATGCCCTCCAACTACCATGACACTTTGTTAGCAAATATCATTATTATAATGCATGTGGATACATTTATGGTATAAAACAATTTAACCATGGTAAATGTCAGAAAACCATAACACATGAGCATAATAGTCACTGAACAAGAGAAGGAGGACTTGGTACTCACTCCATTAAGACATTGTACATGATCAAAACATGCCATTGGGCTATTGCTCAACAGTATGAATATACATGACATTACTAAAATGTATATTTAAATTAAGATTTGCTAAGTTTTTCTACCATGGTTAAATTTTTAATTAAATTTATTGGGATGATATTGGTTAATAAAGTTGTATATGCCACTGAAACACGTAGCCTTAGCAAGTTAGCAAATTTCTGCCAAGCAGGCCTCAACTCTGGTAATATGTACAGAGAAATGTAGCACATTAGCAGATGTTAGCATTAAGTGAACATACATACATCAATGTTACATGCTCAGATGGCCATCAAACACTTGTAGATAAGCAATGTAGGGGAGAGCAAACAGCCAAAATTCTCATGAGAAACTTGGTGAATTTTCAAGCTACTGTAGTGCATACACTGAAAGCCATGACACTTGAACAAAGAGCCTTCAAACATGATAAAGTACACATGTATCTTGAGAAAACTATGGTATAAGCTTAGACAACCATGATGCATGTGAAGTATTTGATATATAAGTCCATAACCATGATGTGTGCACATACAATGTATGCATTATGACAACCCTGATACAGGATTAAGCAATATAGTTTAGGAGAAGATGGCCATGCTAGGGGAGCAGACTGCTACAATGCAGGAACTGAGGGCCATGGTCTAAGAGAAGGCAGAAATACTCAAAAAAAATTGCATGGGTGGGGATAAGAAATTTTTTTATTGGTTACTTTCTATTATACTTATGGTAACAAACTGATGTACACAAGCAGGGGCCACCAAATACATTAATAAATGGAATAATGGCTGTTATGGCAAAATATTTTTGAGCACTGTAAACCTATGTCACTCTATGTTTGTGATGCCTCAATTTCTCCCCCAGCGTTTTTATTTTTTTAA